ACAGTGAGGGTAATTAACCATTGGAACAAGTTACCAAGGGCTATAGTGGATTCTCCATCACTGGTGATTTTTATGTCAAGATTGCACATTTTTTCTAAACTCTCTGCGCTAGGAATGATTGTGGGGCAGGTCTCTGGCCTGTGCTATACAGGAGGTCAGACTAGATGATCACAATGATCCTGTCTGGCCTCGGAGTCTCTGAATAAATAGGATTTAAGCAGTGCCCAAGTTTTACGTCTACACTGTGTTCTAAAACTCTCCTCTCCAGGTGTCAGAGCCTGAGCTCCAGCCTGAGCCGGAATGCCTACACGACTGTGTTTAGCATCGTAGCGTGAGCCCGCGTCTGTAGACCTGGGCGCTGAGACTTGCTGCCTCAGGGTTTTTAATTATTTTTTCTTTTCTGGGTAGACGTAACCTGTGTGGGGCCATCAGGGCCTGGGGGTGAATTTCACCTGATGGGACTCTCAGTTAACCGGACAGTCATTGCCACTTGTTTTGTCTACAGAGAACCCCTGTGAACTGGAACGGAGCCCCGCCCCATCATGGCCACTCTCAATCACACCAGCTTCACTCTCGTAAGTTGCACATTGGTCGGCATCACAGGCACGGAGGCCTCTCACAGCTGGATGTTCTGCTGTCTACCACCACACTGCCCAAAACGCTCAGCATATTCTGGTTCAACGCCAGGGAAATCGCTTTCAGTGCCTGCTTCACCCAGATGTTCTTTATCCATTTTATTTTCATCATGCAGTCAGCCATCCTGCTGGCCATGGCATTTGAGCGGTATGTTGCCATCTGCGACCCCCTCAGATACACATAGACTCATAGACTTTAAGGTCAGAAGGGACCAATATGGTCTTCTAGTCTGACCCCCCGCATGATGCAGGCCACAAAAGCTGACCCACCCACTTTCCCTTAACTCTGCTGTTGAAGTCTCCAGATCGTGATCTAAAGACTTCAAGTCGCAGAGAATCTTCCAGCTTGCGACCCCTGCCCTATGCTGCGGAGGAAGGCGAAAAACCTCCAGGGCCACTGCCAATCTACCCTGGAGGAAAATTCCTTCCCGACCCCAAATATGGCGATCAGCAGAACCCCGAGCATACAGGCAAGATTCTCTAGCCAGACCCTCATTTTACCAGCGATGGCCGTTATTGCCTAATTGATTAGAATCACGTAATCCCATCAAACCATTCCCTCCATAAACTTATCTAGCCTAATCTTGAAGCCAGAGAGGTCTTTCGCCCCCACCGTTTCCCTCGGAAGACTGTTCCAAAATTTCACCCCTCTGACGGTTAGAAACCTTCGTCTAATTTCAAGCCTAAATTTCCCCACGGCCAGTTTATATCCATTCGTTCTCGTGTCCACATTAGCACTGAGCTGAAATAATTCCTCTCCCTCCCTGGTATTTATCCCTTTGATATATTTAAAGAGAGCAATCATATCCCCCCTCAGCCTTCTTTTGGTTAGGCTAAACAAACCAAGCTCCTCGAGTCTCCTTTCATAGGAAAGGTTTTCCATTCCTCGGATCATCCTAGTTGCCCTTCTCTGTACCCGTTCCAGTTTGAGTTCATCCTTTTTAAACATAGGAGACCAGAACTGCACACAGTACTCCAAGTGAGGTCTCACCAGCGCCTTGTATAACGGAAGCAGCACCTCCCTGTCCCTACTAGAAATACCTCGCCTTATGCATCCCAAGATCGCATTAGCTTTTTTCACAGCCACGTCGCATTGCCGACTCCTAGTCATCCTGCGATCAACCAGGACTCCGAGGTCCTTCTCCTCCTCAGTCACTTCTAACCTATGCGTTCCTAGCTTATAACTGAAATTCTTGTTAGTCATCCCTAAATGCATCACCTTACACTTCTCACTATTAAATCTCATCCTATTATTATTACTCCAATTTACAAGGTCATCCAAGTCTCCCTGCAGAATATCCCGATCCTTCTCCGAGTTGGCAATACCTCCCAACTTTGTGTCATCCGCAAATTTTATCAGCCCACTCCTACATTTGGTTCCGAGGTCAGTAATGAATAGATTAAATAAAATCGGACCCAGAACTGAACCTTGAAGAACCCCACTGGTGACCTCCCTCTAATCTGACAGTTCACCTTTCAGTACTACCCGCTGCAGTCTCCCTTTTAACCAGTTCCTTATCCACCTCTGGATTTTCCTATCGATCCCCATCTTATCCAATTTAACCAATAATTCCTCATGCGGAACCAATAATTCCTCATGCACCACCATACTAACGCACTCAAAGATAGGGAAAATCGCGGCGGCAGCTGTCATCAGAGGGGTTTGCCTGGTGGCCTCCCTTATCTTCTTTCTGAAAAGGTTACCGTACTGCGGACCCAATGTCATTTATCACACGTTCTGCGAGCACATGGGAATAGCCCAGCTGGCCTGTGCTGATATAACGCTCAATATCTGGTATGGTTTAACGGTGGCTCTTGTAACCACAGGGCTAGATGCTGTGTTTATTATTGTGTCCTACATTCTGATCCTCCAGGCCGTCTTCCGGCTCCCGTCCAAAGACGCCCGGCTCAAGGCTCTAGGCACCTGCAGCTCCCACATCTGTGTCATATTGATGTTTTACATCCCTGCCTTTTTCTCAATCTTCGCATATTGCTTTGGTGGAGCTAACATCCCTCACTATATTCACGTCCTGCTGGCCAACCTCTTTGTAATCGTTCCTCCCATGTTAAATCCCATCGTCTACGGGGTGAGAACCAGACAGATTCGGGAACAAGTGATTCAGGAGCTCTGCAAGGCAGGCAAATGGTTCTGAGGGCTGCAGCCGGCCCAGTACCTGAGCAATTAACCTCACCAACAAGCTTCCCCAGAAGCGGAATCAGATTGTCATTTATGAGTTGTTTGTACAGCACCAGGCACAATGGTTAATCAGAGAATGTTAGAATCATAGACCTAGAGAGCTGGAGGGGATCTTAAGAAGGCATCAATCCCTCCCCCTGCACTGTGGCAGTTCCCAGTATGCCTAGACCAGCCCTGACAGGGGTTTGTCCAACTTGTGTTTAAAAGCATCCAATGAGGGGGCTCCACCACCTCCCTTGGAAGCCTGTTCCAGAGCTGAATTGTCCTTAGAGTTAGGGTCCTTTAGCCTCCCCTCCTAAGCCAGGCCCTCCACTGCCCTGACCATCCTAGCAGTCCTTCTCCACACCAGTTCCAGCCTGAATTCAATACTAGTGTTTTAAAAATTCTCATATGGGGAAAAAAATCTAGATACAAAATAAAGAAGAATGACAGAGTAGGTCGCATTGGTAGGGGAGTGGCACTATATGTGAAAGAAAACAGAGAGTCAAATATAGTAATAATCTTAAATGAATCAAACTGTAGCGTAGAATCCCTGTGGACAGAAATTCCATGCTTTTAATAAGAACGGTAGAGCAGTAGGAATATGCTACTGCCTAGGATGGTGCGGGTGATTGTGAAATATAATCAAGGAGATTGAAGAGGCTAAAAAAAACAGAAAACGCAGTAATAATGGAGGATTTCAACTATCCCCATATTGAGTGGGATGTCACTTCAGGACAGGATGCAGAGATAAAATGTTCAGACACCATTAATGACGGCTTCTTGGAGCAGCTAGTCCTGGAACCTGCAAGGGGAGAGGCAATTCTTGATTTAGTGCTAAGTGGAGCACAGGGTCTGGTCTAAGGGGTGAATATAGCTGAACTGCTCGGTAATAGTGACCATCATGTAATTACATTTAACATCCTTGTAGAGGGGGAAATATCAAAGAAATGCACCAAAGTAACATTTACCTTCAAAAAGAGCAACTACAAGGCAAATCCTAGTGAAGAAAATAAAAGGAGAATAAATACTGGCAAGATATGAATAAGGGGGTGGGAATATGGTAAAAGCATGAGTGGTCTGGAGAAAGTGAGTAGGGAAGTATTATTTACCCTTTCCTATAACACAAGAACCAGAGGTCACCAAATTAAATTAACAGGCAGCAGGTTTAAAACAAACAAAAGGAAGTATTTCTTTACACAATGCACAGTCAACCTGTGGAACTCATCGCCAGGGGACGTTGGAAGGCCAAAGGGTTCAAAAAGGAATTAGATAAGTTCACGGAGTATTCCTGGGGGAATTATGTGCCACTGTGCATGTGCAGAATTCATGTCCCCCGCAGATTTCTTTGTTTCCTCATGGGAAAATGTCTTTCTCACGGGGAAGCAAAGAGAAGCCTCCAGAGCAATCACGTGACCCACCCCAGCAGTACGGTTTGGATGCCCAGGGCAGCTGGCAGAGAGGTAAATCACTGTGGGGTGGGGGTGGGACTGGGGAAGACCCAGAGGGTGGCTCCTACCCTGCACTGGGCTCAGTTGCTAGTCCTGGCTAGGCTGGTGAGGACGGGACTTCCATTTCCCCTGCACGGCATCCGGGGGCCAGGTCAGATGCGCCTTAAAATTTCTCACCAGGCTGCAGGAAGCTCTGTAAAGTCTCCCCCTGTCTGCTTTCTGTGCCCATTGCTCCTCAGCTGCAGGGGGAGGGATCTCTGTACAGGGAGATGCTCCCCCATCCACTCAACCCCCATGCATCCAGACCCCTTCGTACCAGATCCTTCCGCCGACCCTGCACGCAGGAACCCCCCTGCTGAGCCCTACTCCCCCTGCACCTGGACCACCCTCATGAGCCACCCACACCCGGACCCCACCCCACCACGCCTCAACCAGCTGCACCTGGATCCATACTCGACTGAGCCTGGGATAAATGAAGAGGTGGGGGGGGGTAGCTCCCTTTTATGGACACCCAGCCAGCCAGTTGGCTATAAAGTCCCTCTTAGTAGCTGTTTTCTACTTGCTTTACCTGTAAAAGGGTTGTCAAGGCTGCTTCCCCACTCTGAACTTTAGGGTACAAATGTGGGGGCCTGCATGAAAACTTCTAAGCTTAACTACCAGCTTAGATCTGGTCCGCTGCCACCACTCTCGATGCTAATTCCCTTCCCTGGGTAGCCTTGAGAGACTCTTCACCAATTCCCTGGTGAATACAGATCCAAACCCCTTGGATCTTAAAACAAGGAGAAATTAACCATCCCCCTTCCTTCCTCCCACCAACTCCTGGTGGATCAAGATCCAACCCCCTTGGATCTAAAAACAAGGAAAAATCAACCAGGTTCTTAAAAAGAAGGCTTTTAATTAAAGAAAAAGGTAAAAATCATCTCTGTAAAATCAGGATGGAAAACAACTTTACAGGGTAATCAAACTTAAAGAACCCAGAGGACCCCCCTCTAACCTCAGATTCAAAGTACAGCAAACAGAGATAAACACTCTAGCAAAAGGTACATTTACAAGTTGAGAAAACAAAGATAAACTAACACGCCTTGCCTGGCTGTTTACTTACAAGTTTGAAATAGGAGAGACTTGTTCAGAAAGATTTGGAGAACCTGGATTGATGTCTGGTCCCTCTCAGTCCCAAGAGCGAACAGCCTCCAAAACAAAGAGCACAAACAAAAACTCCCCCCCCCCCCAGATTTGAAAGTATCTTGTCCCCTTATTGG